AAAAAAAAGAATATTCACACTAGAGTTGTGATAGTGTGAAACAGGTCTGTATGTAGCCTCCACCTGCTGTTCTTTTTAAACCCTAACATTATATGAAGTACTTTTCTGTGTATCTTTGCAAAGGGAAAAATAGATTTCCATTTTTTAAAAACGCCTGCATATTTCCGGGCTAAGAATGCAGCTACCCGGTTCTTCATTCAGAGTCACTGGTGACCATTTGGAAGGCCAGGCAGCCCACTGCTGAACATTAAGTACCACTTTTTTTTTTTTTTTTTTTAGGTCAGTGGTTCTCAACCTGTGGGTTGAGACCCCTTTGGGGTTGTTGAGCAAACCTTTTACAGGGGTCACCTTAGGCCATCAGAAATAGCCGATACAATTGGTAACAGTAGCAAATTTATAGTTATTAAGTAACAACGAAATAATTCTGGTTGGTGGGTCACCGCAACATGAAGAACTATATATTAAAGTTCGCAGCATCAGGAAGGTTGAGAACTGTTGTTCTAGGTGATTAAGTGATGTTTGTGTGTTCTTGGGCATGGGGAAGCAAATCTCCTGTCATCTCAGAAATATCATTGTAGTTTTCAGGATAGTGTCAAATAGTCAAATAGAGTTTGCTATTTCCGGATCAGTGCTTGTCCCATTTAAAGTCTGCAGTATGGACTTAAGACCCAATGAATAGGGAATGTCCCGCCGTGAGTGATTTCATAGTATTCCTGGCCCTATTATGTTAGGTGGAAGCCACAATGCATGCACGTCCCTATATGTCACAGAAGTAAAAATAACCAGAGCTATACTGCCAAGTGTTGCTATGGGCAGAATCACCCCTGTTTTTTTGGGGGGGGGGAGTAGGAGTGGGTTTGTCACAGGGTTACTCTGTGTAACAATAACAGGCTATCCACTTGCCTCTGTCTCCCAAGTGCTGGGATTAAAGGCGTGTACCACCACAGCTCGACAATCGCCCCTGTTCTTAATCACCAATGAAATAGTCTCTTCCATATATCTTGCCAGGAAAGGAGCCGGTGAGATGGCTTGGTGGTTAAGAACATTCACTGATCTTCCAGAGGACCCAGATTCAATTCCTAGCACCCATACAGAGGCTCACAATCTTCTGTAACTCCAACTCCTGTCGATCCAACACCTTTGACCTTCACAAGCACATGCCCACATGCAAACACACACACCTAGACATAATTAAAGAAAATAAGGGCTGGGCTTGCTCTAGGTTCATCCCTTGCTTCTTGGTTTTGTTTGTTTGTTTGTTTGGTTGGTTTTTTTGTTTTGTTTTGTTTTGTTTTGTTTTGTTTTTTGAGACAGGGTTGGTTCCTCTGTGTAGTTTTGGAGCATGTCTTGGAACTTGCTCTGCAGACCAGGCTGGCCTCAAACTCACAGAGATCCGCCTGTCTCTGCCTCCCAAGTGCTGGGATTAAAGGCATGTGCCACCACCGCCCGGCGGTTGTTTTGTTTTTTAATTGCAGATATTCCCTTGCTTGCTATAATGCTTCCCCTACCCCCATTATCAGTGATTCTACCTACAGCCTTGTATGTGCTAGGGAAGTGTCCCACATTTGAGTGCATCCTCAAACCAGAATAATGACGTGTCAAAACACTGGCCAGAAATACAAACAGTATGGAAAAGCCTCAGTGACAGGTGATCATAAGAGGCCAAACTGAACATGTTATTCCAGAATTCCACAAAAACTCAAAACAAACTGGACATGAGGTGCATGTCTGATAGGCATTTAAGGATAGCCTGGGCTGCCATCCCAGCAAGAGGAATGTGGTGTGTTTGAAGATAGCCTGGGCTACTACAAAGCAGGACCGGGTCTCATTCTCAAAAAGTCTCAGGCTCTTTTTTAGGACACAGTATTCAGGAATTTAGGACTTTAAACATTTTTGTCAAGTGGACTTTTTGTTGTGTTGGTTAAAACAAAACAAAATAAAAACCTAACATCTTACTATGTAGCCCTGGCCATCATGGAACAGATCCACCTGCCTTACAAATCCAGTGTGGACCGCCTCACCTGGCCTTAGTAGCCTGTTTCCTGTTTGAAAGGACATTACTATATAAGGCAGGACAGCCTTGCGCCCTAAAACATTCTTTCAGTTCTTCTTCTCTGGTACTAGGGTTACAGGTGTGCACCTCGAATCTCAGTAGGGACTTGCCTTTTGCAGTTACTGCCCATGGTTTTAAGATAGGCTGTCGTGGAGGTGAGGCTGGCTCACACTCACTCTGTAGTCCAGGCTGCTCGTGCCTCAGCCTCCCAAATGTGTGAACATCTACACTTCTACTTTTTAACTTAATCAAATTTCAGTGATATTAAACGTTTTTTAGTATTGCTCTAAGAGCTATCGTATTACTATATAAATGACCTATAACTTGTTCCCTATTTGCAGGTGTTGAAGGAACCGATAATTGCAACAAGTAACTGTCTTGTACACCTATATTATAAATACATAACTGTGGAAATGTAGTAGGCTAACTTTTTCCGGCATCACTTTGGATACTGAGGCTAACTTTATCAGATTTACGTATTGCTCTTTGTCCACAGTTACTATAGAAAGCTACCCAGGCAGAAGAGCTGTGTGTAATCCCAGACCTTTGGCAGTGGAGTCAGGCTCATCAGGAGTGCAAGGTCACCTTGGCTGTCACCGAGTCGAGGCTCTACTGAGACCCCATCTTAAATTGTTAGTCCTGTTAATAAAAAGGTTGAAGATGAGAGAATAAGTCCGACCCCCTCAAATATTTTTGTCTTCTCACCTTTGACTCCTAGAAGAATTAGGAGCCAGAAGGTGGCAACAGGGGCGAGTCCAATGTCAAGACCTGTTGTCTTATTCTT